CCTCCTTTCTCCCCAGGTCTCATGATTGAAATTGTTTCCTATTTTCCTTCATTTTCCTTTTACACTCACTTTCCTGGCTACAGTTATCATCTTTACCTTATGTAAATGGTAGCTATGATTTTTTTTCTCATTATATTTACATTTGTTACACTTAAATTAAATAGGACTTCATCCAGAGCAAGCCCTGAAACACCATTGTTGTCATTGCCGTCGTCATCATCATTATCTCTCCAAACGTTTGGGAATTATTAGTAGCTTATTATGATTATTAATATCAGGTAAGCGAGGGAACATTGAACAATCCTGACTGTAAAGAAGGAGGAGGAAAAGGGAGGAGGGAATATTCATTAACAGGAGTTATTAAAAACAGAGTTTGTAAAATGTTCCTTTTTGTTTAAAAAACATTTCTTTAGTTGGACTCCAACTTGCATGCATTGTTAAAAGCAATTCTTGGGAATATGTTAAAAACAGAGCTTGGGAAGTTTTCTTTTTTCCCTGTTCTGTTTTGAGCCCAAAGGGTTGGCCTGGGGATAGAGGTGGGCCAGGTAGCCACACGGCAGCCATCCCAATCCCACCCCTACGCTGTCCTGATGCCGTGCAGCCGTAAGCATGGTGCACAGCATCAGGACGCTCTTCCGGTGCAGCATGCAGACATGTTGAACCAAAAGAGTGTAGAAGTGCTGCAGTGCTGGCTCTTAGGGCTGCCTTTTGCCGCCCCTAAAAGGAGCGGCATTTTTCCACTCTTTTAGGGGTGGCAAAAGGAGGGATTAGGACTGTGGCATGGGGTTGCCACAGCCCTGATCTGACACTCCCCGGGGCAACTCTCTGCCACCCCAAACAGGCCATCTCATTGACCCTTAGTTTCCAGCCAGAGAAATAAGCAGTCATTTGGCACACACCTGTATGTGTGCAGTGGCATCATTAGGGATAGTGTCACCCAGTGCAGTAATTCATAGTGTCACCACCACCCCTTGTTCTCCTCCCATACCACTCAGAATTCTTAGTTATGTTTTTTTGTACTAATGTTACTTATAAATTGTAATACCCATATACCACCAAATGTAATGGTAATAGTTGTGACATAAACAACTAGCAAAATTAAAAGATATAGCATGTTAGGGCCTCGGCAGACGGCTTATTGAGCCGTCTCCGAGCCCAGGAAGAGGAGGAGGAGCAGCCGCACGCGCGGCGCTCCTTCCTCTTCCTGAGGTTGCCCTCGGAGCTGCCGGCCCTCTGCACGGCCGGCACTCCGGGGGCAACCTCCCGCAGCAGCGTCCGCATGCGCTGCGGCGGAAAAGACAGAGAAAGTGTGCCCTACGCGTTTAGGGTGCACTTTTGCTATCTTATGGAAGGAGCGCTGATTTAGCGCTCCTTCCAGGGACGCCACAGGAGCGCCGGGGTGCGGAGGCTGCGGTCCCGCGGCGCTCCATCCGGCGGCGTCTCTGGGGCCTCCGTCTGCCGAGGCCCTTAGTCTGTAGAATCAGTATGTAAAGAGATCTTGTAGCATCTTTGAGACAAAACTGAAGGAAAGAAGTTGGCAGCATGAGCTTTCATAGATTATATCTTTAAATCACAATATCATATGTACATCCTAAATGTATTTACATGTGCATAGTTTCATGTGGTTAAAGCGAAAATTTGGGAAGGTGTGATGTTTTTAAAGAAAAATTTAAAAGAATATTTTTAAAAGAATAGTTTTTAAAAATTTAAATTTAAAATGTATTTAAAAAAAACACCTGCAGGCTTTCCTTTCTCCTCCCACTGAGCCTCACCCCACTCACACCATCTCTTAAGCATTTTAAGCATGCACAGGTGAATACCACAGCTCATTTCTGCCAAAAAGCAGATGTTTGGGAAGCAGTGATGTCATCCCCGGATAACACCTGATATGGTCTGCATCCCCCCACGCCTCCCTAGTGATGCCTCTCTCTCTCTCTCTCTGGTTGGTGCACAAAGTAGCATGCTTCTTTGCATCACCAGAGGCTTCTTCATAACATACCTTAGTCTTGCCTCTCCTTGTAACATCACAAGGAGCCATCCCTAGGTCTCAGTTTTTGACTTAGAGATTTAGGTGCTTCTCTAGTAATTCTAGCAACCACTTGCACTCCTGGTTTCCCATCTTTCTCATCTATGGGGGGGGGGTGCAGACAGGCGGCCCTGGACCACCCCGGAAGCAGAGGATTGGGGCCGCTGCTGCCATACACAGTGGCCACAATTCTCCTGTTTGTCGGCCTGGAAAAGAGCAACAAAATGCCGCTCCTTTCAGAGCTGGGGCAGCCCAAGACTGCTGCGTGGCTCTTCTGCATCCCTTCCAGCGCAATGCATCAAGATGCTGTGCCGGGAGGACATTCTGACGGTGTGTGCCGTGTGTAACGGCACGTGCCATGATGACGTCCTCGGGAGGGCTTGGGGCAGCCGGCGTGAAGCTGCCCGTCCCCATCCCTGCCTCATGGGCAGCCGACAGGGCCATCTGTAGAGGCCCTATGTGAAGTTGAGAGGATGAATTCAGGCTCTGCTTGTAATTGATTTAAAGCTAGTATCTGGCCAAACCTGAAGCCTAAGTGACAATCCCAGATCCATGTTTTTACCTTTTACTCAGGGGGAAAAAAGGTCAAGGATTACTTTTTCTGGCTTTCATAACACCTCATTACATTTCATGCAAGCAAAGGAATATATGCAAGTGGTTAAAAATGATATTACTCATGATCTTTTTGATCTTTTTGATCTATGGCTTTTGCCATGGATCAAATAATTCATAGAGGTTGGAAAGATAAAGATAGCCTACATGAATTTCAACCTCAAAACATTATGTCTGCACCTAATTAAGCCAGT